CATAAAGACATGGAAAGTGGAAGCACCACGCTGCAGGCTCAAGCAAACGAGTCAGCCCCCGAACACCAGCCCTGCCACTGCAAAATCCTCCTGACACAGAACCTATGGCAAAGGCAGAGACAGCCTCTGTACTGCACTCACTGAAGTGTGTGTGCGTCTAATGTGGTCGCAGTAACCAGGACTCCACATGAATTAATAATAATAACCTTCTCGGCTTCAGCAGGATTACTTACCATCTCATCAGCTAATGTGTGCAAAGGAGTGTGCTGCCCAAAGGAGTGGGTAGGAATAACAAAAATGCTTAGATTTGGTTTCCTACAGGGTTTTATTTTGCACATTTACCTTGCCTATGGAGAGGTGTAAGCAGGCTGCTCCCTTTTTGACCTGCTGAGGTGTTTCCTTCTGCCTGCTCTGCACGTTTTTAGCATGATTGTGCAGTGTGCTCAGTCAGGGCTGTCAAACGGGCCATAATGTCACAACATGTACAGGACAGTAGTTGTCACTGGAGAGGAACAGCTCTTTAACTATAGCTTGTTATTAAAAAGCCAAGCGTGGGATTTGGATAGAGGCATAGGGTGCCCTTGAGATACCAATACAGGGCAGTCAGGTGTTACCTGTGCCTTTCTGGAGTGGCAGTGGGAGGCCAGACAAGGTGCTCTAGAAACAGATCCCTGGTGTAAAATGGAACTAAACACCCCAGGTTCACCACCTGAGCCTCTCCTCAAGTATCTGCTTATGATCCCCTTTTCCTGGTAGCACTAAAAAAGGCTGGAGATGCAACCAGCTCCCACTGGCAGTGGTTTTTTCTGTGTTTGAAGACTTATTGTGACATCTTCCCACTGTTGGAATCTCTCAAATTATGCCACTTCCTTTCTTTTGATGTTTTTTTCCTGCTAGATCCTGTTTTTTAGACTTCTGATAATCCATAGTGCTTTCATGTGGCTACTCTCCAACTGCAGAAGCTTTGACTTCTCAGTCTCATCCCTGACTCCTTACTGAATCCTTTGCAAAGTATATGAGGCTGGTCCTAGCCCTCAGTGCCTCCATCAAATGTATGAGTGGTGTAAGAACAGCCATGTGCGTCTTATGCTAGCTCTTCTGAAGGTTTCACATAGTAATTGTGTTCAAGAACAATGGGTATTCACAAAATAAGATCAAGTGATGAAAGCCAGACAGAAATGACAGAAAAATCTGGAGTAATGGACATTCCTTTTTCTTAATGTGCCTCACAACTGATATCAAAGTTCAGACCTGGTTCTTAACGTTGTGTGAACTTCAAAAGGTGTCAGGTTTTATTCAGTAAGAAAGGAAGGTCTCCAAGGTTTCATGTAGTTCTGCTCAAAGAAACCCCTTCCCTTTTCATTCATCTGTTCACCCTTTGACTCTTTGTATTTGACCTTGTGCCTAGTTCTTAGCGAAACATTAGAGCAGCGTGGAGCTGTAAAATGGTTGCACAGTCGCTTCTCTCTCTCCTTGAAATTAGACATCCCGGTCAACCCAGTTGCAGTGCACTCACCTCTAGAAGGCCATCAGTGTTTGGCAGCTTTAATTTTTCATTCTCTAAAAATGAAGCATTTAATGACAAAGGAAACCTGTCTCTGAACCAGCGCAGCACCATCTTGCTGCATCCACAGAAGATGTACACAGTAGCTCAGAGTATAAACTACCCGCATTTCACCCTGCCCACCGCTGGCAGTAGCAAGTCAAAACTGAAGATAAGACTGTGTAAATGTTCTCTGGCTAGGGGGAAGAGAAAGGAATATTGCAATTCCAGATGAATGTGGACTAATGGAGCAGCGTTGTTTTGTCTATGCTCTCTCACAGCAGATAACAGAGCTCAAAGCTGTCAGTCTCCCTGGCCATCAGTTTCCAAAGTGGATGGTTAGGAAAGTTACCCAAATGGATTACTTTAGTTACTGTTTAATTTTGAGGATTTATTTCTCTTGTATAGATAGCAGTAAGCATGAGATTGGTGTGTTGGAGCTGCAACAAATCATGAGAATTAAAAATTCTCTTCCACATGCCAGCGTGATTAAATGGAGAATAGACTTATAGAATATCTATAATAATACATGTATGGTAGATACCTTTAAAAATATCTTCTTGGAGAATTATCACCAAAGAGACAAAGGGTCATATTAACTTCTGGCATAGCGCTTGTTCAGACCAACTGGAGTGATATTCGCATCTCTTCCAGATGAGATCCTAAAGCTGAAAAATTGTGATAGGTAAGAGAGCGTTGCTGAAATGCCTAATTTCTGCACTAGGCACTTTAAAAGCATCTAAATGGCTTATTTTTCAGCTGTGAAATAGAAGTCTTTTCCACCGTTCTGGAAACATGGGATTCAAGGTGACTTCACGGGGTGTTAATGGACGAGTGATCTGCACCCTGCTAACAATATTTCATGAGCAATGGTGTAGCAAATAGCATAGTCTATTATACTGTGCCACCAGATGCCATCTGAAAAGCACGTTGCTGGCTTTTACATCCCAGCCTTGATCAGCTTTCCACAGAAATAACACCAATGCCCACTGTCGGAGACAGTGCATCCCCAGCGTTGACTTGCAGCTCCATAGGTGATATCCCATTTCCAGTATGTCTTCCAACAATTGAATCTCTGATGGCTAATAAATGGTTAGGGCACTAGTTTTCCCTTCATTGTGCACTGGTACTTAGATGAATGGAGCACTTCTTTTAGTATGGGACGCTTTCTTTAGTTCACACAGATTTATCGAAATTACCCCCTTTGAGACCTCATGGTAAAATAAGAGTTAATTTTAAACAAAGTCCTTGAGCATTACTGTGGGGAGATGACCCTGAAAGAGAGCCGTGGAGAGCATGGGGTAGCCTAACTCCTTTATTTAGGAGACTAAAACCAGCTGACTATAAAATAAGAGGATACAGATCGACAGTGGGAGCGCAGCATATCAGGAGTGTTAGAGGTGCTCAAGGTGTCTTGTGCCCTTCAGTGCCTCCCCTTCTGACTGTCAGCAGCCTCCACACCTCCATGTCTGCACCGTGGACACCCTCAGCACAGTTTGGACCCCTCACCTTTTTTGGTCCAAAGCATGGGCAAGGGAAGGAATGAAGCTGAGGATGAATACTGCTTTCTTCAAAATATACTGTCTTCACAATACACTCTTTTGCTTTTTCAGTTGCTAGACACTGTCATAAGGTTTTCATTGCAGATCTCTTCTCCTGGAGTACTGTTAGAGTGATCAATGTTGCAAATGGAGTCAACCTCTTCTGAAGATGAATAGTTGCGATGACATGCATGCTTTCTAGTGAAATCCTGTTCAAGCTTGCTCCCAAGGGCTGACAGACTATTGTTAAGGGAACAGACACAGTAGGACATGAAAGGGTTTTTCTCCAAACACATTGACAAGTGATGTGTTTGAGGTTTGAAATATGTTTCCAAAAGTCAAGGCCTTGCTGCTTCTCCATTTTGTTTAACAATTGCTGCTGTTGTTAACTTCCACCAAAATAAATTTGGCAGCCAGCATTAGGAGAAATAGCCCTTGTAACACCCATTCCAACTGGCTAAGGTAAAAACTCTTCAGGAGTGCAGGCTCTCTGCTTAGATCCTGCCTAGGGTGAGTGTTACTCAGAAAATAACAAACTTTAATGAAAGAAAATGAAAACTTATCTCTGATCTTTTGCAGTTCAGTCATTGGTAACTGGTGTAATTGTGTTCTTTTTGAAGTTACATCATAACAGGATGACTAAAAAGACATATAAGTTGCCCTGAGCTGTCTGGAGGTGGGTAATGCAAGCAACGGTGTGAATAGTAGTCACTGGTGAGGGGCAGAAATTAATAGGAATTCGGAAAGAGGTGAGGAGAATAGGTGGGGAGGAAGCAACTGTAAGCGATTTATACAGTTTAAATTGCATCCTACATAACACAGTGAATATGGGGAGTATTTTCTGTTAAATTTATTTTTATGTTGTGGCTCTTTGCCTTTTCCTTATCTTTTCCCTTTATATGTGTATGTAATTCTAAATATATGCATATATGAATGTATATTTATATACATGCATTAAAAATAGAAATTAAAATATATAAAAGCAATATATAATTAAAACTGTATGTCTATAATTAAAACCTATATATGGGTGTGTATATACATATATATATATGGCTTTGATTTTAAAAGGCGGCCTTGGACAGAAAGAAAGCAAAGCAATACAGAAGCAGTAACTCAAGCCCACTATCTCCTGTGTTTTACAAGTATGAAACACCAGTGTGAAGATTCTCGGGGGGGCTGGCCAGTATACAACCCCCTCAACAAACCCCGTCGCTGCTGCCTTCTCTCCAGCTTAGGTGCCATGAGGCCTTACTTCTCTAAGACAGCCATCTGCACAGTGCCATAACCCTTCTGCCTATTTTAAAGCATACATGTTAGCAGCAAGAGAGATTTTATTTCAGAGGAATCTGTTTCTTCGTCTCGCTCCTGTTCCAGCTTGTAGCAAAGAGCTTGGTGACCGCTCTTGATGTTGCCTACATCCTGTTGCAGTTCCCTGCAAACTTCCACACTCATACAGTGAACTTCTCTTCAGCGATAAAATACAGCAGGCAGGCTTTCAGAAGCAGCCAGGAAGGCAATATTTTCCCCGCTCAAGTAAATTTTACTTGGCATTTTCTTTCTCTGCTCTTCTCGGTGCCCAGGCTGCCTATTCCCCTGCAGGGCTCAGCATGAGCATCAGCCTGCAGATGCAGACTAACTGCACTTAGTCTGCAGCAGGAGCTCTCTGTGCTTGGTACTTTTCCTAACACTTGACTGGGAATATTGGCTGGGGAACCAGAGCCCTGAGTCAAGGAGCAAATACAAGGTATGAGCAGCAACCTCCTTGTTTTAACACCTGGAGGCAAAGCACACGCAAAGGAAGAGAATGGGTTATTGAAAGACTTGTCTCAGAGGGGTTCTGCCCCCTCCTGACCTTTTTGTCCTGCGTTATGCTTTAGTTATATATTGTCATTCTCTCTCCTTTGAAATTACAGTGACTTCTCATGTAGTGAGAGCACCAGCATCCCTGTGGGAGAAGAGGAGGAATGAAGCTAGGCAGCAGGTCCTGCCTGGCAGGAGGTTGTTTTCATCCACAGCTGGATAGAATCACCAATCAGTGCTAGCTCGTCTCATTTCTCTCAAGTTGGTATCCTGGCAGGCACTGGGCAAATTACTCCCATACCTAAGGAGAGGTAAGACTGTTATGCTCTCCCTGGAGAAGTGTGTTATAAGGATTAATTATCTCCTGTTTGTAAAGCAGTTAGTATAGAAGAAACTATCTGTGGGAGGGCCAAGAACTATACCCTAATGTTACTAAGTTGGTGTTTAAGCTAATAGCTCTCTCCTAACTGTACGTTTACCAAAGAAATAGGAGAGACAAGGTCACCACTTTGAGTCCGAAACTAGTTCATTACTCCTTCGCCTGCTGGATGAGCTTTCAGTTATTCCCTACCAGTCTCCAGTTTCCCACAGGCTGTGTTTGCAGTGTGAGCTGCAGGTGGTGTAAATTGGTATCCCTTGGAGTCAAACCAAAGCAGGACCCTCCCTGGAGGTCCCTCAGTCCCGGGCCAGCTGCAGGCAGCAGTACTGTGGCCAGGTTCTGTGCACGAGACCAGATTTACTGTGGTCCAGCCTTTCTCTGGACTCAATCTCAGCACACACAAACAAGTGGTGCGTTTCCTTGTAGCTCTGAGACACTTGAAATTCATCCCAATCTGTTAATTCTGCCCTGCCCTGTGTCTCACAGTAGGTCCTTTTAACTCCCGTCTCTAAATGAGGCAGAACTTCCCGGCCACAGGCAGTTCATTTAAATATAAATGTAAAAGCTGTGCTGGAGGAAATGGTTTCTGCTCAGCTATTTGATTATGAAATCAAATCATTTCTCTGCTCTTTTCAAATTGGTGGCTAACGGACGGTAACAGTGAAAAAGGGGGACTGCAGGGCTGGGTTTACATGAATTAAAGACATTCATTCCTGTGTGTGCTTTAATCTGTATTGAAAGTAGTGTGTTTTCAATTACGACCTGAGCCTATGGGATTTATTTTTTTTAATCTCTATGGCAATAGAGAGAAAAGCCTTTAACCCTCAGGAAATTGTTAAAGGTAGGATTATACACCAGTGCCATCAATTATTCTTTCTAATGTTCACAGATGATAACAAAGAGGTGAATTGATGGGTAAGATCTCTACTTTAGGCAACAGGAAACACCAGCTACAAGTAAAAGAAAGGCATGGGTAAAGAAATGGCTTAGTTGAACTTCCCTGAAGCACAGAAACAAAATGCTGGAAGTACAGGAATCCAACAGTGATTTCTGATCTCTGGTGTCACAGAAAATCACTCAAGGAGTTGTCTTCTGAGTGAAGTGGATGGATGGTTCCTGTTCTTTTCCAGAGGAAGTCAAAGGGCAACCAATACATCAGTGTTTGCTTCAACAGCTGAAACTGGAGTTCCAACAATGAGCTCTCCCTTCGCCGTAATTTGGGTGTTGGAAGGAGCAATATAACTTTGGAAGCCCAGAAAGTTTAGGCTAGAGTTTCTTGTTCTAGGAACTAGTTGCTTTGAGCTGCCTTGTCACAAACTTCCATGCCTTAAGTCACTCTTCCCTCCTGGGTGCCTGAAACTCCCTCTTTCTTTCACCTCATGAAGAATAACTAATTCCCCTAAATACGTTCTTTTTTATCTCAAAGTTTACACACAGGAGGGACTCAAAAGCACGTGTGTTGTATTCTTCCTCCAGCTTAGCACTTTGCAACCTTGCAAATCTTTGCTCTTTACCTATCAGAAGCCCATGTTAGCACACGCAGGTGGTCTGTAGGAAACTGGTCCTGGTGCCACCCAGCTTCCAGTAATGCACAGCACCTTTTCTCACTTCACCTTTGTTATATTTTGAAGGTTTTAGACCTAAATCACTCAGTCTCTGCAGAATGACTTCTACAGGTGGAGTGTTTTGGGGTGATACCAAGCAGGTGTTATAGGTCCTATAGGTACCAAACTGAGCAGAGGGCCTGGTTGTGACCCAGATTTCAGTACATTACTAAAAACTATGTGTGTTCATTTATAATGATTCCTTGGGCCATTCCTACTCATTCACCATATCTGTAGTTACTATTTCTATACATCTAATTGTATTCCCTGTTCCATCTTCTGCACTCTTCTCCAGGCAGATGACTCTCAGTCTTTCTACTTTGTGCCTGCCCCTTTTGCTTAGACTAAGGGAAGAGGGGGGTTTGTAACAAAGCAATACTTCAAAGTTATGTTCCTAGAACAGCAGCAGAAAAAGTAATAAAAGCCACAAAAAAAAAAAAGAAAAAAGGAAAAGGCCATTTATGCCTGTCTATAAACCATGTCTCAATGCCTTAGTTATTGTGAAACAGGGTTTATTCATACTTTGCCTTATAGCAACTGCTTTCTTTATATTATGCTATAATTTGTTTGGCTATAGTCTAATCAAGAGTGTGTGTGTGTGCATCTCTGTGTGTTTCGGTTTCAGCATCTGTGCAGTTCTTTGGGAAAATGGGGACAAACAGCTTGCTTGTAATAAACAGTCCCACAGCCTAATTTACTCACTCTGTGTTCTTGCTTTAAAGATCTGAACAGAACCTCACATGCACTAAACTTCAGTTTCACTCATTGCCTCTTACAGGAGATGAATGGTGTATTCACAGGAGGATTCGGATTTCATCTACACCCTGCTTCATGGTCAGTGGTTACGATTGTCTGAAAAGGTAGCAGTGGGCATTAACCAGAATCATACAGCAAGTAGCCAGGTACGTTCGTTCTTTGGGTTTGTTGCTGTACTCACACACACTTCATAGGAAAAGTATTTGGTTTAAACTGTGCCTAGTTGTAATTATACCTCCTTCAAGAAAACGTCCTTTTTCATTTCTTCCTTGCAGGGTTTCCTCAGTATTTCAGATCTTGTTTCCCCTCTTCCTTTTTCTCTTTCCGATATAAGCTTTAGTTCAGCGTTTCAGAGGTATGTACTCTGTATGGTTTCTGTTTCTTACTCCATCTTGGCTCCAGGCTTCCAAGACATTTTGCTATAACTGTGGAATGAAAAAAGCATCTGGACTGAAAAGCGTTGTTAGGAGATCATCAGATGCTGGTAAAGGTAGTAACAGAGCATCTGATACTCATCAAGTGTAAATTTAATAAAGGTAATTAAAAGAAGCACATTAAACTGAAAGAGGAGAGGCGGATCACAGGATAATCCCATGGAATGTCTTTAAGTGCTCCGTTACCCTCCAGGTTTGAGAAGTGGACGTTTGTCTTGAATACTCTGCTATGTCTTGCACTTCACTGCAAACTACGTATTCTAATCCACTCTCAGTCTGCAATATGTTTTTACACGAGTGCTTCATACATGACTGTGGCTGGATTTTTAACAGCATGAAACATTTAAAATGTATCTTATTTGGTTACCTAAAAATACAGTAAAGAGCTTTGTGAGATTGAGCCAGAGCTACCGGTAATTTTCACTGACATAAATTATACCCCTCCAAAATAATGGAAAAAGAAAAGGAAAAAGGAAAGAAAAATTAGAAAGTTAAGCTCATGCTATTCCAATTCCAAACAGCTGTATATGTGCATAAAGATGCACACACTGAATGTCTTCAAGCACCTGATCTATTGGGCCTCGACTATATACATACCTGAAGGGAGGTTGCGAAGAAGGCAAGAAAGAGCCAGGCTATATTTAGTGGTGCCCAGTGACAAGTCCAGAAGAAATGGGCACAAACTGGAATAGAGGAGGTTCCCTCTGAACGTCAGGGAACATTTTTCCTGTGAGGCTGACCAAGAACTGGCACAGGTTGCCCAGAGAGGTGGTGGAATCTCCCTCCTTGGAGATATTCCAACGTCATCTGGACACGGTCCTGGGGAGCTGGCAGGGAGGACCAGATGACCTCAAGAGGTCACTTCCAACCTCAACCATTCTGTGGTTCTATGAAGTTCGAATTTTAGCAATCCATGGTTTTAGTTCTGGTGGTTCCTGTATCAGTTTCAGGCCACACTCGTGACTAATGAGTGAACCAAAGTGAACAGGTTGGACAAAGCCTTGGGTAAGATGGTTTAGTGTGAGGTGTCCCTGCCCATGGCAGGGGGGTTGGAACTAGATGATCTTAAGGTCCTTTCCAACCCTAACTATTCTATGATTCTAACAGCCTGGAAGCAAACCTACTGATGCTTTTCCAGCCTTCTCTTCCATGGCATCACTGATTCTTGTAAGGTCCAGGACAGGCTAAAAAACTCCCAGACAAACAAGGAATTAATTTTATGTCTACTTGGTGCAGCGCCTCACCAAATATTGGCAGAAAAATCTCTTTTGCAGAGTAACTTTCCAGAATAACCGTATTCTTTTATCCTTCTAAATTGCTTGCTTGTGTGCGTCAGCACCGTATCCCATGGACAGAAAGTTTCACACCCTTTTATCTTTTCTTTCTCAGAAAGAAAGCTAGACTCTTGATCTCTGGCACAATATCTCAGTTCAGTTCTTGGCAAAAAACTTCCTGTGTGACAAAGGTTATGTTGCTTTATTCAAGCAATAATCCACTAAGCTCCCAGTGGTTTCAATGCATCTGAGGAGTTTTAGGTCTTGTTTCCTTCTTTGAGGAATATAGCTAACAATACTTTCCTTTGGCTGCCCTTTATGCATCTTCCCCATCTAGAAAATCATCTCTTTGTGGTAGACACAGTCTTCTGCTGTATGTTTAACGTTGTCTAACACAGTAGGTCATTCATCTTGGCTGGGAAGCCTTTGAGAGCTGTCAGTGTCCAACAGCGAATGCCATTTGCACCTCTGGCTTTTCTTATATGAAAGTTGGAATATTTCGCTCAGAACTACAGCAGATCAAAACTCAAATCATATGTTTCTTCTAAGGGAAGAAAGATCTGCGTGTATTTCATCCTGAGGTCTGTGGGTCTGGGCAAGGGTTTACGTCTTTGAAAGAGAAAAGCTTAGGAAGGAATGGACTGGCCTCAACAAATAACAGTAATAGTAGAAAGTGTAATAATTAATGAGACTGACAGCTGAAATGGCTTATTCTTTTTAGCAATATAGGCCTGCAGTGTTACAAATTGTCTCCGAACCCAGATCTTGCACATAAGAGGGGAATCGAACACTGCTCCGTAGCCGTTTCTCACAGACTGCAGGAGGATGCTGTCTGCATGTGCTCTGATATTCTGCACTGCTTGGTGAAAGCAATTCACAGAGCAAAGGAGGAAGAAAATGAGCAGAGGGTCCCACAACTCATCTCAAGTTTCCTTTGGTGACTGTCTGCCATTTCTTTTTCATGAGGGCTTTGACAAGCAGCAGCAGTTATAAGATTTTCATTTCCTGGAACATTTCTTACCAGTCTAAAGCTTCTTTTTTTGTTGTTTTTCCTTTTTTTTTTGTTCTTTTTTCCTCCCCCCTTTTTTTTCCTTTTAAGATAGATGTACAGCATGACTGAAGGAGAGATTCGTGACCTACTTTTCCCAAATCGCATATTGAGCTTTGTGTTCTTTCTGATGCTCAGTACAGAGTTCTTCCCATTAGAAATCTCCTTGGGCTGGTTTATGTTAGCCTTCCCATGGCAGAACAGCAGGGCAAGGTATAACTCAGGCTGAGGAGGAAATCCTATCATCGTACTGGAAGAGTAAGAGATTGCTGGGTGTTAGTGAGCAGGTCTCTGTACCTTCAGTAAATAAGTAAAACCCAAACTAAAATGAAGAGACAGTCTGCTTTATCAGTCATTTGCTGAAGGGAATCCATCTGGATCCTTAATCAGGGCTAAGAAAACAAGGTTTAGGCAGTAGAACATGTTAAAAATTGGAAGTTGTGAGAAAAGGTCATGTGAATCTAGTCCATATTAGCGACACTTAGGATGATTAGACAGTGAGGCTAATGATTTTACGTAAGACTGACTAACCCTCCTTGCCTTCGGTAGCATTTCATCACTTGTGAACCAAGGGGACATCTGACAGAGACCACAGCATCCCAACAATTTGGCAGTGCTGTTTAAGAGCATCCCCCAGCCAGAGCCGTCCATCAGATTGCTGGGCAGCAGCGATGACATTTCGGTAGATGTGTTTAATTATATCAATACATCAATAGTGCTGACATTTCGAAGAGCTATCACCTCAGGATAAGCCAGCTCTAAAACTAATCTCTTCTCTGTCCTTCTCCATCTGCCCTGACAAATAAAGCTGCATGAGTCAGAGTTTTAAACAGAAGTAGTACCTAAAGGGAGGTGCAGAGCATAGAGAAGTCCATTTGGGAGCCCAAAGCAGCCAATTCCCTCTGCAACTCTTAGTGGCCTGAGCATCTCTTTCAGAGCCGAACTTCAGCCATGGTTCCACAAATACCTTCAGAAGTCATAAGGGGGAAAGACAAAGGATGGTACATAATGTAAAACACTTGAATATGCTTAAATTAACTGGCAGACAAAAGTTAATCCAAATAAGCACAGTTACATTGGCCAGGAGGAGGTACCAAAGCAGGTAGGTTTTGTCTCACTAGTCCACGCATGTCCTGGCTGTTAACACCAGTTGGTGAGCAGTTCCATGCAGCCAGTGCTGCAAAGCATTGAGACTCGTGCTTGGGCTTTTCCACTGGTGCAGATTCAGACTGGTGCCATCAGCCAAAGCGAAAAGTCAGATCTCCAGGCTCTGAGGAATCAACAAATGTGCTGTTAGAAGTGAAAAATGGGAGATGCCTTAAGGAAATAATGCAAAAGCAAAGAGGAGGTAAAGCAACCATTCTGTGGTTTGCAGCCCAGGATGCAGCCCTCTTGCTTCAAACACACAGCGGCTCGGATAGCAACATCATGCAGGATGTAAGTGGGAATCTGTCGTTTCTCACTGGGTAATAGAAAACATTTAGTTGTCTTATTTAACATTTTTAGTCTTTACTGTTGTGTTTTCATGGCGCACAATATCTCAGAGAGAAAAGGGTTGGTTTTTTTTTGCCTCTCCTGCTTGAAAGCAGGAGCCAAAAGAAATCTGTGGGAGTCCACAAGATATAGGATCGGTGGGGCTGTGCTCACAGTTGTAACAGGATTGGAGAGAGGAACACAGGAAAGGGAGCACCAAAAACATCGTTTCTTGGCCACAGTGCAAACAGGAGTAGGCCAGAGAGGCTGCAGCCTATGCCAGCAGAGTGCATCCCTTCTGTGGGGTCCATAAATAACTGAGGATCTCCAGGCTAAAGCAAGACCCTGACTGCCACTGACATGTCTTACAGCCTGCTGACTGGGGGAGGCAAGCAGTGGGAACTGATGTTGCTCCACTTCACAGTTCTTGCTTGCTTCTTGGTTGCTCTTCTTGAGGACCAGTGACAGGCACAAACAGGAGCAGCAGGCAAAGCTCAAGAGTCATGCCCGGATTTTTTCACCACCACTCTCTCTACCAGAGCCTTTCCTGACTGCTGAATCTTCCTTTGTGCTTTCCAAACCTTCCATTAGAGGTTTGCACCAGTATTTTGAAAGATGAAAATCATAATATTTAATCTGAGGTATTGAAATAGAGCAGTCCACTGTTTAAAAGAACAGAACAAATCAAAACAAAGTCTTAACTCATCTTCTGCCTAATGCTGCTCAAGGCAACAAGTAATTCTTTAATAGCTAAAATAATTCCTTAGTAATTAACTTGGCAAAAGCGATGGTTTTGGTTTGAAAAAAGTCCTACATTATACTTTTTTGTTCACTGTAGCAGACAGTTCTAGCTAAGAGAATTGTTCTTCTCTGTTAGAGATGTTCCCACAGAGCAAATCTTTGAAGGATACACCCTGTAAGCTGAGAGCATATTTCCTCTTTATGGCCATACAAAACCAGCAGGTCTCCCCTGTAGTGTTCCCAGGGCACTTTTCCCGAGCTGAGCCATTCCTGGTGTGTTTTCCAGCCAGTTCAACAATACCAATTTTCTACAACCTCGAAATCAATTTTGGTTTGATTTGTTTTGCGGGAGATGAAGAAAGTTGTTATGTTCTGCCGCCGGACCTAACTCATGCTCACCTAAACAGCTTCCCAGCCCCTGTCCTGCCACTGACTCAAACTGCGTAGAAACATGCTTTTGGCAATGGAAATCAACTGGAGGCTTACACAGGCGTCCGTATATCTACTTAGGCATAATGAAAATGCACTCAGGAGAACCTTCCTACAGCCATTTGTTGTGCTTATACTGCTTCTGTCCACACCACCTTCACGCCAAATTCAACCAATAGTTTTCAGTTGCTTTTAAGTGTTCCTTTTGACTGTAAATGTTGGGTGGAAATAGCTACTAATTTTGAGCCTTATCCTGCTCCATGGTCTAAGTACATTTCTGAATGCTTTTTGTATCGCCCTTATGGCCTTTCATGTCTTCTTTACTTTCCTTTTTTCAGAACCACAGCTGACTGGCTGAAGTTGAAAACTCACTGAAGGGCATTTTCTGTGTCACTTCAGGCAGCTGCACATGAAATTGATGGAACATTAACTTTTGCAGGTGAGCTGAGCTTCATTTCTAATTTGCTGAAAAGCAGGAAGTATTTAGGACCGTTTGGCCTTGAAGAACTTGGGAGAACCTTGTAGGAGCAAATGTCATGGTCACAAACTTTCCTCCAGCTTGTTCAGTGCACGAATGATTCTTTTGATCCTCCTTGGAAAGTGAACAGCAATGCATGAACATCAACACGATTTCAGTATTACAATATAGAAAGCAAAATTCCATTGGTGAGGACTTTTTATACAGGACAAGTGGTTTTGTACAGTGTGTTTTGGTTAGGCAAGATGTGCCCTGAAGAGCACCAGGATTTGTTTTAGATGGTGCTGACAGGGACAAGCTTAGCTAGTAAGGAGGGAAAGATGTTTGGGGAATAGGAAGAAATACTGGACAGACTAAGCATAACATAGCTTGGCCATCTCAAGCTGCTGAGGACACTTGTTCACCTCTCTGCTCTTCCCCCGCTCACCCAGCTCTTGACATGATGTCCTGAAGAAGGACCTGCTCATATCTTGGGTGCCGAGTTGGAGATGTAGCTGCTTTATTTTCCCAGGGTCTTTTCTCTTTATGCCTGTAGAGAGGGCTTCTGAGATGTGATCTGTCTCCAAGGTTCCTGATATCACAGTATTTCTTTTTAACGCTTTTGCTGCCTCATTGTTAGTTTCCCTGATCACTCTGAGATCTGTTATCTTTCAAACACCTCGAGTGATATCTCGTGCCTTCCCTCATTCTCTTGCATCTCTTTTTCCCTAGGTATAAAGTACAGAAGTTTCGGATGGAAGTCTGAATTTTTTTTCCCTCCAGCTCCATATCTTGCTTTCTAATTTATCCCAGACAACGTCTATCAGATTGATCAAGAGTTGCTCTACATCAAACCTTCATTAAGCAAAATCATGATCAGAGCAGTTGCCGTCTGGCAAGCATCAAACATCTTCTCTGTACCTCATAGTGTTCTACTCTAGCTCTTTGCTGATAAATGCAGTACTGACTTCTTCAGGTACAGAGGTAGGTACTGCATTCACACAAGATATCTGTCTTTATCTCATGGGCTCATGAGGTATCATGAGCATTTATCTCATAGGTGTTACAACTTGATTGTTAGCTCCTCTCATTCAATCTTTTATTTTGGATCACGATAGGTTCTGCAAACCCAAAACGTTTGCCACTGACTTTGTTTCTATTCTGGGTGTCATGTTCTCACTGCATGCCTTAAATTTTAGGGCAACAGAGTGTTTATCATAGTGACTAAATGATTTAAGTCACTGTTGACTCTGTCGCTTTCACATCATTATAAATATCTTGGCTCCAAAGGATTCAGGTTGTGTGATGAACTCCAATAAATCTCTTCCTTAATATTGTCAGGGCTTGAAATGGAAATGTCTGCAGTAAGGAAAAGACAGAATTGCAAGGGTGTCATACTTATCTCTGCGAAATAAATGGTGAGTTTTTTAATCTTTGTCATCAGGAATGATAAACGTTTCTGCAGTTGCTTATTATAGTGCTGCACAGAAGCCCTCCTGCATTCTCTCTCTGGTTGTGCAGAGTTATTAGGGTAGGCCAATGAGGAGTATTACGTATTTTAATGTACAGAGTTAAAATCCATGCTAAATAAAGCTGTGTCTGCCCTGCCCTCAATGTCCTAAGTCTCTGCAAGAGCAGGAGAAGGTTCTCATTGAAACCAAGACCACTTCATATTAAGCTGAAAGGGAGAAGTGTTCTTGAAGTAGGATTAAATGATATCAAAACTCCCTTTCAGTGGTGCTTTTGTTTTAATACTCTGAAACAGCTTAAGGGGGCCTCAGTGTAACTGAGGATCAGAGTCAAAGAAATACAGTGTCAATAAAAAGAAATACTGGGGTTTAGTTTAGCTGTGGATGTTTGTGTCTTTCCATACAGTGCTTTAGTATTTGTAAAGAATTTTTAGTGGAAATCAATGACCGTTAGTAATGATCAAGTAATATCCAAAGCTGCATTTCATAGAATGGTTTTATGGGCAAAATATCAACATGTTGGCTTCCAGGATTCACAGCACAGAGCAGCACTAGGGAGGGAAGGAGCTATAAACCACTCAACCTCACTTGTCTCATGTAATCAACACAGAACTCTAAATGCAGGCCACTGACAGCTTTAAAATGGAGCAAAATACCTTCAGCAGTCTCACAAAACCAAGGGAAAAGTCACATCTAAACCTAAACCATAAGAAAGAGGAAATAAAGCACAAAAGAAGCTGGGGATCTGGTGGGTATTTTAATAGCAGCATAGGAAAGGTGAGAGCTAGGCAGTATGTTACATCAGCTTACAGAGGCAGCAACACAGTGGCCCCCTGCCATGGGAGAGGAAGGTCCTATGGGATCCCCAGCACCACCAGTGTTGACCCTGCAGGCATCTCCCCTTTGCATGGAGAGGGATGGCCTCATCCTCTCAGACCCACAGACAGGTTTCTCATGTGTTTCTCCAAAGCCAAAGCTTCCTCTGGAAGGGAATTTGAGACGCAAGGCTCCCTGGGGCATGCACCAAGTCTGCCATCTGCCTTTTTGTCTAAGATACATTACTCAGTGCTTGTGAAACCATGCATATAAACACCAGCTAGGGCTAACAGAAAGCACGGGTCTCATAGCTGTTGCGTATTGCTTGGGACTCTAAAAGGCTCATTTTCACTTCCCGGTGTTCCTAACCTGAAAGACATTTTTGTAGTCAAAACTACCGTGGCAACCGGATCTGACCTTCTAAAGAACACAAGCCGAGGGACTAATTAAGAGAGATGTTTCAATTACTCCTCCTTCCAGGAGCCTGGTGCAAAGCTGGTGCCACAGAACCGGGAAATTCATCATCTAAACGAGTGAAGAGTCAAAACTATGACTGGAATTTAAACACCTCATTGCTACCACCTATGTGCCAACGAACCCGGCTGTGAAAGCTGACATAAGCAGTCGGCCTCTTACAAGAACTGTCTCTGTATATACATGAAGCCAGGTAATGGATGAAACGATGGAAAGGTGTGTTCAGGAATATATAATCCCAGTGAATTTTGCACCAACAGAACATGCTATCGAAGGCTGCTTCCGTGCAAGTCCACCAAGGCTTTGACGCCGCAGATTAATTCCAGGTTAATTCCTTCTTCCTTCAGCACTTCCCAGTTGCAATCTGGAGGAAATTCTGTCTTCCATCTTGGCTCCCCCCTTTGACCAGGGGTGTTTCCACAGCAGTTAATGCAGATGGGTGCTGTACTCCGTAGCGTGAACAAGGCCCGAGAGTACCTTGCTGTACTGTGAGGAAAGATCTCCTTACAGTCACGTAAAGTGTCCTGCTAAATCCTTTCATTATGTAAAGTCTTCCAAGGAAACTACCCCAAACCTGGAAACAAGGCTTTAAGGTAAATATGAAATGCAGCTTAAAAAAGAAAGAAGAGGAGGAGAGGGGAAATTGAATGTTACTGACTTTATTGAATGTCTCTATTCAAATATCCTGCATAAGCAGACATGTCACTTTAATCAGACAAAACCCACCAGGGAAGGTGGTAATTATTTGTATTACTTCTTGACAGCTATAAAAAGCTAAAACGTTACTGTGCAAATCCTGCCTGAACTATTTAAACAATTGAAAAATGTGATTTAACAGCTAAAACAAACTTGATGCAGGCTGAGCTCTCGTCGACACATGGGAGATGAACTAAGCTGGCTCTTTGTACAGGGAATAGAAATCAACTGTGCAGTGCCCTCCAGGTAGCATGGCTAAAACCTGATACCAAATACACCCTAAAACCTCATCTGGCAGTAGGGAGGGTCAGGGGTTTGCCTTGGGAATTCCCAGAGGGCTTTAGCAGCCAGGCAGAAGTGCCAGGACCTGTGGATGACACTGCCTTGCCCAGGCAGAGGAGGTGAAGCAAGGCAGGAATGAGGTTCTGCGGTACTGTTTGCATTGTCAGGTGTGCTTCAAGAATGTGATGTGCCAAGGAGCAGGGCTTGAAGGGTCTAAAACACCATGGACTGGCAGTAGACCCTGGGTTAGGGCCACCTTTGTTGGCTGGCGCACCAACAAAGCCAGCATGAGAGAGGCTTTGTAAACACAACTGCATGTTTCCAACCACCAAGTGAGCTTCCAAGAGAGGGGTGTAAGAAGATTTAACCCAGTTCAGCCCTGGGGAAAGCCCTGGGCTAGCTATCACTTACACTAAAATGCTTGTCTTAAGGGTTTTTTCTTAAACACTAGCCTTTGATACTGGAGTTGAAAATTACAACACTGCCAAAAGCACAGTGATTTCCAACAACAAAATCTGTGTGGCCGCTGTGGAAATGATACAAATGCTATTATCAGAAATCTGTTTCCGCTGATGGGTCGCTGTGTGTTCATAAACTAACATCACATAGACTATGCTAAGGACTTCTTCCTTCTTTCTACATGTTCACGGCCTCTGCTGTGCTTTGCCCTGCTTTGTCTTTATAACAATACCGTAGAAAGCTGTTTTCCACTTTCACTACTCCTAGATACCCGAGACTCGCCTCTAAAACCTAAAAAAACTAGGGATTCTTTAAAAAAGCTGAATATCTGAATAATGAAATAAGAAATGAGTCTCTCCGCAGGCAGTGGGATTAATAAAGCCTGGCTCTCGAAAGATTTGTCTTATTTCCTTTTAAGCTCTTTGATTTCATCAGTAATTTGGGTTCCCACGTTCCTTACTTGATCGCCATGGCACAAGGGAAAGGCTGAAAACACTTGCTAGCTGGACAGCCAGGAGTAGATGCATTGCTACCTGGACCAGGAGCTCTGTTTCAGTTTCTATGCCAGACAGGCCATGTCTGTTTTCAGCCATTCCTTCATCCTCACCGAGGCTAGAAATGTATCTTCAACAAGCATCAGAACTGTGGTTCCTGTACTTCTAATGATTTCCTGCTTGCTTCCACCTACCTCTAATGACTGCAATATCAAAAGGGTCAGGAAATAACTGCAGAACTGAGAAATCCTGCGTCTGAGTTCTCCTTTTTCAAGCAGAAGAAGGATCAGTCAGATGTGACACTCCAAGCACTCTCTCCTTTTTTCCTCTCATCTCTTTGCTGTCACATTTTGGATGT